ATCCATATATCTCCTCTTTGTCTTTCTCCTGGCAGCTGCATTTCTAATATCCTTCTACCAATATACCCACTGTCCCTCCTCTGGACATGTCCAAACCGTCTCAGTCTGGCCTCTAACTTTGTCTCCCAGTTTTTCAACTTGTGCTGTACCTCTGATGATCTCATTCCTAATCTTCTCTGTCCTTGTCACTCCTAAGGAGAACCTCAACATCTTCATTTTTGCCACTTCCAGTTCTTTCTCCTGTCTTTTTATCAATGCCACTGTCTCCAGCCCATACAACATAGCTGGTCTCACCACTGTCTTGTAAACTTTTCCTTTGACCTTTGCTGCTAAGCTTTTGTTGCAAATTACTCCTGAAACTTTTCTCCATCCACTCCATCCTGTCTTGACTCTCTTTCACCTCTTAACCACATTTCCACATTTCTGGACACTTGCCCGAAGACCGCCATCATCATCTCAGTCCCAAAGAGCTTTACAGTGACTGGTGTGAATGACTATCAGCCAGTAGCCCTCACCCCAATAGTCGGTAAATGCTTCGAAAGGTTGGTCATGACCCACCTCAAAACAACCATCAACATTAACGAGGGCCCTCAAGTATGCATACCATGAGAATCGATCAACAGAAGACGCCATCTCCTCTGTGGTCCACACTGCTCTCACCCACCTGGAGCAGAAGGACTCCTACGTCCGTATGCTCTTTGTGGACTTCACGTCTGCCTTCAATACCATGATCCCCCAGATCCTGATGGACAAACTATTCACACTAGGACTAAGCCCCTCCATTTGCAACTGGGTCCTAGACTTCTTTACAAACAGACCACAGTCAGTGAGAATCCACAACTTCTCCTCCTCTACCATAATCCTGCACTGGCTCCCCTCAGGGATGTATGCTGAGCCCTCTCCTGTTCACTCTGCTCATGTATCACTGCGCACCTACCCATCCAGGCTGTCACATTGTAAAGTTTGCAGACAATACAGTGGTGGTGGGATGCATCACAAACAATGATGAGTCCAGCTACAGGCAGGAGGTGGAACACCTGGAGAGCTGGTACAGGAAGAACAACCTTCACATCAATGTGAAGAAGACAAAGGAGATGGTCATAGACTTCAGACGGAACAAACACCCCCCACCCCCAAGAACATAGGAGGATCTGCGGTGGAAGTGGTCTCCAGCTACAAGTACTTGGGTGTGCACTTGAATGACAACCTCAGCTGGGACAACAACACCACCAGCCTGATCAAGAAAGCTCATCAGAGACTCTACTTCCTCAGGCGGCTGAGACGAGCTGGTCTGGGAAGCTCAGTCCTCACCTCCTTCTACAGGTGTGCAGTGAAGAGCATCCTGTGCTCCAGCATCAATGTGTGGCATGGAGGCTGCACAGCTGCAGAAAGAAAAGCTTTGCAGAGAGTAGTGAAGGCTGCAGAGAAGACTGCTGGAGTCAACCTCCCCACCATCACAGACATCTACACCTCCAGATGCAGGAAGAGGGCCACCTGCATCATGAAGGACCCCACTCACCCAGCACACACACTTTTTGTCCCGCTCCCCTCAGGAAGGAGGTTGAGGAGCAGTAAGTGTACTTTGTAGAACCACTAGACTGAGGAACAGCTTCTACTCTTAGGCTGTTAGACTCATGAATCTCCAACCAGAATAATCACTGTGAAAAAAAATCACATCATGCTGGTGATTTATTTCATGCTGCTGTGTTCATTCGTACTCATCTGCTCACACAGACTCATGTTGGTGCTGCTTTTTGGCATATTGTTTTTGCACTACTAGTGCTTAGCGTATTTTTAGTTTAACATTTTTCTTAGTTAATATCTTAGATCTTATTACTGTTTTTCTTTTACATTTATACTTTTGTTGGATGTTACTGGGACCCTGTGTACACAATTTCATTCCACCACATGTACCACATGTGGTGCATATGAAAAATAAAGAAACTTTGACTTTTGACTTTGACTTTTGACAATTTAGCCCAAGTCATTGAAGTCCTGCACCTTTGCGACCTCTGCTCCTTGTAGCCTCACTGTTTCATCTGTCTCCCTCTCATTCACACACAGAGTACGTGTGTGATATACATGTTTTCTCTCTTACTACGGCTGACTTTCATTCCTCTTCTTTCAAATACGTACCTTCACCTCTCTACATTCTCTTCCTCCTGTTCCTTGTTCTTACCACAGATTATAAAGTCATCTGCTAACATCATAGTCTATGGGGATTCCTGCCTGATCTCATTTGTTCCCGTCAGTCCATCACCAGAGCAAACAAGAAGGGGAGCAGAGCCGAACCATGATGCAATCCCACACTGAAGCTATCTCACCACATCTCACCACTGTCCTGTTGTCCTCATACATGTCCTGTATCAGTCTAACATTCTTTTCTGCCACTCCAGATTTCTTCATGCAATACTACACCTCCCTCAGCACCCTGTCATATACTTTTTCTAAATCTACAAAGAAGACACAATGAAGTTTTTTTTCTGACCCTCTCCGTACCTTTCTACCAGCATCCTCAAAGCAAAGATGGCTTCTGTGGTGCACATGAAACCATACTGGTGCTCACAGATAGTCACCTCTCGTCTGAGTCTAGCTTCCACAACTCTCTCCCAGATCATTGTGTGGCTCATTAACTTAAACATAACATAAATGCATAAATCCTGTAGTTTCTATAACTCAGTACATCACAACTGTTCTTAAAAATGAGCACCAGCACACTTCTTCTCCATTCCTCAGGCATTTTCTTGCTCTCAATTATGCCATTGGATATTTGAGACAAAAACCTTACTGCAATCTTTCATAGACTTTTCCAAACCTCTAATAGTATCTCATCAGGTCCTACTGCCTTCCCCTTCTTCAGTCTTTTCAGAGATTTCTAAAATTCACCATCACTAACCTTTTCCACTTCCTGGTCCACAGTTTCTGTGACCTCTACTCTTTTTTCTCTTTCATTTTCTTCATTCATTAGTTCCTCAAAATACTCCTTCAGTCGTCCCTTCATTGTCTCCTCACTTGTTAGAACATTAACCATTCATATCTTTAAAAGCCTAACCTGCTGCACATCCTTTCCAGCCTGATCTCCTTGTCTCACCAGTCGGTACAAGTCCTTCTCACCCACTTTAGTGTCCAGTCTCCATTACAACTCATCATACACCCTCTGCTTTGCCTTTGCTACCTCCCTCTTTGCTCTACATTGCATTTCCTCATATTCCTGTCTACTCTCTTCAGTCCTCTCACTGTCATATTTCTTCTTGGTTAGCCTCTTTCTCTGAATAACTTACTGCACTTTACTTACAAACTTCTTTTTTAGGCCAACCCCTACTCCATTCTCTTCCTATCTAGACCATGGTAAAGTAATCTAAACCTTGCCCCAGTGCTGCAAGTCTTGCTGCCCTTTTACTTGGTGTCTTGCACACATATGTCTACCTTCTTTCTCTACACCATGTAAGCCAGCTCCTTTCACTGTTCCCACATTTAGAGTTGTTACCCTGTCCTACATTTTTGACTTTCCTCTTCTCCCCCTGTCTCTTGACACATTTTCCTACTTGTGGTCTTCGACTAACAGTAAGATAATTTCCGCCAACACCCTGTTTGTCAACAGCATCATTGGCGGTCGATGTTAACCCGGACCTCGACGATTCCGGTATGGTGTTGCTTTGATGAAGTTGCATGTTTGTTTTGGCAAAAGTGTTTTAGGTCAGATGCCCTTCTTGAGAAAACCCTCACCATTTACCCAAGCTTTGGACTGGCACAAGAAATACACTGGCTTGTGCTCGCTAGTAGTTGATTTCATCTTTGTCCTACTGACATTCGACTTTATTTAACCAAGTAAATCCCGTTGCGATCACAGATTTAATTTTTAAGGGAGGCCCTGGCCTGAAGGCAGCCTAAACGTGCATATTTTGAACTGTAGGAGGAGACCAGGGTACCCTAAGAACACCCATGCAAACACGAGGAGATCATGCAAACTCCACAATGAAAGACTTGAGACCAAACCAGGGGCTTGAACCCAGGGCCTTCTTGCTATGAGGCAACAGTTCTAACGACTAAGCTGTCCTGCTGCCGCTCATGAAGAGAGTGGGTGAAAAGCTGACTGAAATTCTTACTTGAAGAAATTTTAATGCAAACACAATAATCATCTCTAGTCCTGGGGCATTAAAAAAATAATTTTCTCCTGTAACTGATAGAATGTAGGAAAAAGTGTCATATGCACAATGTTCACGAAAAACGGTCATTGTTCATCAGAGGCAACTGTTTTTTAGAACCAGCTGAATGGTTTGGTAGGAGTTCTTTTAGACAAGCATGGCAGTCTCTTACATTTTGTGCTGTTATTTTTTTAGTTTCCAAGATAATCTAACTTTATTTGTAATCTCTGTATACTTTTGAAGACATCCTGCCATATCATAATGAATTGCAGGAACGTGTATAAGGACCATAGATGTCTGGAGTTGGCCTGTAACTCTCAGGAGGAGTTGGACAGCTGGAAGGCTTCTCTGCTGCGGGCTGGAGTCTACCCTGAGAAGGTCGCTGTTAAAACTTTAACCTCAAATTTTGCCTTAACTAATCTGAGCCTGATTTTACATACAAGGACCTCCACCTCTCTGAGTTATACTTTTGTGTCACATGCACTCATTGACTTTGCTAACCTTAAACCCCAGCTACAACTCTGTACCCCTTTCGCTCCTTGCATCCCCCAACCCCGCCCCCACCCCCAAGTGAAAAAGTGAGTCCTCCACCCCTTCCATCACACTCAGTCGTTGGCTTTTTAGCCCACATTCTTGGTCCATGATGTAACTGCAATACGTGTGTATAAGAGCGTGTGTGTTCCAGTCTGTTTCTAATCATCAGTTCCTCATCCCTTAACCACTCCCCCAGTTCTTTCTTCTCCCTACTCCTTGTTGCCTTTGTCTTTTATGTTCCCTCCATTCTGCTCTCATTGTTCCTATTCCTCAAAGTCTGTTTTTTTTTGTCACCACTAATATAGCTGACAAGATAAAGTAACACAGATAATTCTGCAGTACTTCACTTTCACTACAAAAGAGATTATTTATTAAAAATATGTATGATTTATGTGAGCATGTCTATGTCACATAGGCAGAGGAGAAGGAAAATGGACCTGAAACCTTCACAGACCCTCACCTAGAGCGCCAAGTGGAGACCATTCGTAACCTGGTTGACTCGTACATGCACATCATCTATAAAACCGTGCGGGATTTAATGCCAAAGACAGTTATGCACCTCATGATCAATAGTGTAAGTCTTTCAGATTACATAAGTCATTTTTATTCTACTTGTTAGTTTCATTTGCCACCTAAAAAAAATAAATGGTTTGGTTAACTTCTTTTGGTTAAATAAATCCATGATTTTTTTTTCTTGCCATACACGCACACCTTAAAATCACATAAATTTTTAGAATTTCTAGTCAGACTCCTGAATATGTGTAAATTGCAGATTTACTCTTTAGTTAAATGCTTGTGTGTAGGTGAAAGAGTTCATCAGCTCGGAGCTTTTGGCGCAGCTCTATGCTCTAGGGGAATGCACAGCTCTGATGGATGAGTCACTAGAGCAGAGGCAGCACCGAGAGGAAGTGCTCTGCAAACATGCTGCCCTGAAGGAGGCACTCGCTGTCATTGGAGAAATCTCTACCTCTACCTGCAGCACTCCTCTTCCTCCACCTGTGGACTCCTCCTGGATAAAACACTCCAAGTATCTATCTATCTGTCTGTCTGTGTGCAGTAAATAAATGTGAGCAAGTTAATTCTGTTCCTTAAGTTTCTCATCTTTCCCCACCTCAAGTCATCCTAAAAACTCATCACAGACTGGTGGCAAGCTGGTGGATCGAGGTCATGCGCCGCCTGTTCCTTGGGTATCTCGTGTAAGACCTGGTACTTCCTCAAATAACTTTCATCAGCTTCCTCATCAACACAACCGCACCCCTACCAGTGTACCAAGGTGAGACATCCGAATTTATAACGACCTCCTCGTTTTTGAGAGGCCTGGCGTTTAGGCATTCACATATGTACACAATCAGCCGTTCCTCTGCAGAGGCACAGGGGTACAGAGAGTTGATATTTGAGCTGGGTGGGGGTCTGCTGGAAAATGTGTTTCTCATATTCCACCTTCCCAACAGCCTCAGACGACAGGACTTCTCTTCATGCAGCTTTCTACTGGAGCCAGAAACAACAGGCCGAGCACTTTGTCAAGTTTTCATCTTTACATCAGTCCTACAGTCCCCTTTTACTTTTTTAAGCATACATTTGTTTTATTACCTTTCTGAAATTTCTGTCATGCAATAACCTTTTTTTTTTTTTTACTTTCCCCATGTGCCTTTTTTCTTTTGCTTTTCTTCACTTCTTTTCTTCTACTCGTTCCTCCCCTGCTTTTGGCCGGTTTCTTCTTTTTTCTCTGCCTCATTTCCTCTGTGCTCTCCACTGGTTTCTTTAGGTTCTTTCCTGCATGCAGTCTTTCTTTTGCTAAGGCCTGCCATCCAGATTTATGGTACTCTACCTCTCCTATTGATATGCTCAGCACAATGGTATTTGTATAGGTGCATTTTATGTTTTACAGTTATTCACAGTATTTCATGTTCACTGCCCTGTAGGACTGTTGTGAACAAAAAGGTGGCATTGTGGGTAAATAGAAATAAGTACAATACGCCCAAAACCAGTGCACTGGGAACAACTGGGAACCACTACATGATTACAACACACAAGTTAATGTATTTTGTCACCCACGTTCAAATGTTCTTTTTATCTTATGAAATGTCTCTTCTTTGTTTAGCTTGTCTGTAAGACATGTAACAGTAAAATGGTTTTTGTATCTGTTATGGCATTGCTCTAATACACAGTATGCCAATTATTTTGTCATTAGACACAGTGTTGAAGGAGCATGTGCCATTTTATATATCAGACAAATGTTTGCATTTTGAATAAAGGTGAGTTCTTTTTTTGTAAGTTTTGACTTAGTTGCTGCACATCTAGAATAGATGATGTTGATTATAATTAAAGCCCGACCGATATATCAGTAGGACCAATAATTTAGGCCGATATAGATGTTTGGGGACCTATCGTATCGTGATAATCATCCCATTATGAGCTGATATAAGCCCTTCTAATTTTCACCCCTAAAATACTGAGAACCAGCCATAACTGTACAGTGTATCCAGCAGAAGGCGCATGAAGACTACTTTCAAGTCATTGCCGTCCACTTAAGTTTCACTTTCAACAGATGAAGCAGGGAGCAATACTGTGTAGTGCATTTTGCTGAATAGAGCATGGTAAGTTTATTTTAACTGATCTGTAAAATCAAATAAAAATCAACAATAATAATTTCTCTTCAATCCTCCAACCCGCTTGTCATTAACTACATGCCTCTCAAGTTAGCAAGCTAACATTAGTGTTCAGTTGCACCGCCTTCACGACATTAGCCCTGTTGTCAGTAGCTATAGCAACAAGTCCTGTCGGATTGAGCTTCCAGTTTGTGAGAACATCCAGTGTTAGCAACGATATCTTTGTCATCCTCAGTGAAATGCATTGTTTGTCTGAAATCTACGTCTCTGCAAAGAAAAAAGAACTCTGCTGCAGTCAATACTAATTAGACCTTCATACGTGACTGATTGTTTAAACAATGAACAGGGAAGGGTGTTTCTTTGTTTAATTTATATTTTTGTAACACACTTGATAACTTTATGGTGAATAGTGGAGGATAGAAAATGTGAATGCACGTTAGGAAGACTGTTTTCATGACCATTGCACCACTTGTAAACCTACTGTGGGACTATGTATAGCGTGGCTCTGATTAGCTTCATGGTTGCTAACAGCTGCATTAAATAAAGAATCCCCGCTCCACTCACTGTTTTCTTAGATTCTTGGGGGTGGACAAAGCTAAAAAATGTCCAGCCATTATTTCAGTTATCGGCATTAGCTGGGCCCTCCCAATATCTGTATCAGCGATAACCCAAATTTTCATATTGGCCGGGCTCTAATTATAATGTTGAGCAGTAACAGCAATTATTTTATTATAGTCACTTTCACTGACTGAAAGTGCCTTGTTCAAATGGAGTGTTTGTCTTTCCTTGTGCAACACAAAGAAATGTGGGGAATATTTGTTTGAGGAACTGCATTCAGGTGACATTGTTGTATTCTATTGAAACAATCAGTAATATATTTGATCTGATCTCTCCAGGAGGCAACCACCACCAATCCCAAATGGAAAATAATCATTTTCTGCTCCTTCACCCATCTGCCCCTGTGGTCTTCCATTCCCCACTGACTACTACCCAGAGACGACCCAACTTGTATGATGTATTATCCAGCTGAAGCACTTCCCTGGGCTTCTCAGTTTCTCCTCTGGGTATTGATGTCTGCAAAAATCCACTCCGTCTTGTGCCTGTTTTGTACATATTATGACTGGCTATAAATGCTGGAATGTGGTGTGGCTGGGTTTTTTTTTTTTCTCCAAAGAGCCAACATTTTATTAATAAAATCAGCAATGTGTATGCTGTTTGTGAATAAACAGGTGTTTTCTTCATTTATTATCGTGTGAATGCTGTTAAGAATTCACACATAATTTATTTTTTCAAGTGTCTTCTGTAAGTTTTTCGGGATTCAACTCATCCCACAGTTTTTAAGCTATTTCTGCAATTTAGGTATCGAAACATTCAGCTCGTTCAGGAAACGAATGTTTTTGGTATTGGATGGTATCTTCTTATTTGGTATATCTTTTAAACTTTTTGAAATAGCTTTGAGATTACATTAAATCCTTCGGCATCTTACTACTTTTAGAACTGTAACTACTTCAGCATACTTCCCCCTTGAAAGTTCATTCAACTTTTAAACATAAGGCATTCAGCTATCAATAAATGATTCAGCCTTTTGATCATTTGAGCCATTTTTGTCAAATCTTGAGTTTAGCGTTTTGACATTTCTCGCCTGTCATCAGGGGAGTTGTTTTCTCTTTCCTGTTCTTGTTGTATTTGGCAGTTTCTTCTTCTGCTGAAAATGTTCAGTAAAATACCCAATATTTGGTTGCTAGGTTGAGAAAAAAAATAACCTCACATACTAACTTATCATGTGCATGAATGTCATTAATTATTGGCTTTTAGCAATTTATTTGGACCATTCTTTTTCCAGTGAGGAATGATTATATAATCTACTATGACAATCATTTTTAAAAACAGAAACTGAATGTCAAAGTTTTAATTTATTGCAGATTTTCTTAGGTCCAAATTAGGTAAAAATATAAATACTTAATATTCATTATTTTAAATATAGTATACACACTAGCTATATAAATCTTCTGTGCTGCTTAAAGTTGGAGTTTTTTTTTTAATTTGAGACAAGATCTGTTAATGATCAGGGCAGCTGATAATTTCTCATGCTCAGCAGAGAAAGGATTTGTTTGAAACTTGTTTTGGTTTTCATACTCAGAACAATTGGGAAAGTTTAACGACCTTATTCAAGTTCTTCCTACATCGAGATCTAAGAAAACAAAAACTGTAGATTTACACAAGTTAAGAAAAATGTTGGAGCCATTTCTGAATAACTACAGCTCCCAAGATCATCAATTCAAACATTTGTCTATCAATTCAATTCAGTTCATTTATATACCTCCAAGTCACAACAGAAATGATCTCAGGGCACTGAACAGAAACATTCACAAAAGCCCATTAAAACAAGTTATAGTATCTAAAGGAGCCAGCAGATTGCGTTGAATCATTTCATCAGTCTTCCATCCTGAGCAAGCACAAAGGCAACAGTGGAAAGAACAAACTTCCTTTAACAGGAAGAAACCTCCAGCAGAACCAGGCTCAGGACAAGCGGCCATCTGCTTCGATCGGCTGGGATTGATCCCATTCTATCCATGCCCTTTCTTTACCTGTTTCCACTTCCCAAATTTTGGGGGTTGCTGGTGCAAGAGGCGAATAATTTGCAAGTCCATCACGGCTACATTGAGGAAAGGTAAACAACCATTCACACTAGGGCTGAACAATTTTAGAAAATATTCTAATTGCGATTTTTTTTTTACCTCAATATTGCGATTGAATATGCAATGATTTTTCAACAAACACAAGCAATAAATCAATCTGTTTCAATTGCAAAAAAAACTCCTCTGTTTTCAGCTCCGCTACAACTCTCGTTTCTGCATTTTTTGTATAGCTCCGGGATAGCAACTTGGCTAAAATGTGTGCACGAGAGCATTCTGTACTGCTTATCCATTGTGTTTACCAAAGCCAAAAACCCAGGCTTGGTCACTACATTAACGGGAAGCATTTAAAAATCATTTAATTTGTTTGTTGCACCCCGTAAAAAAAAATGGTTCAAACAAATATTAAAAAGCCCCCAAACTATTGTGAGATCCAGGCCCACGGTGAGTGAATGTACGCCCCAGGCTGCCACGTTGGTTTGTAACCATGACGCTGTCTCAACTTCCTGTCTCTGAGGACGCTGCGCCGCCTCAGACTGAACCTTCGAGTTGAAGTCCAGCTGCTTCTGCTGCTCTGGACCAAACATGGCGGCCAAGACCCCGCCACACCCCGGAGCAGGCCGAGTTCAAGCAAGTAGAGGAGAGGGCCTTCTCACTTCAACACCGTTGAAGGGAGGACACCTAGCGGCCAGAGCGCATAGGACGGCTGCTGCCAAGCTCCATAACAGCTGGATTAGACTGCTATTCAAAAGCTACAGATGTTTTTGCTGATGAAATGTGGCCCCATGATGCTTCAAACAAGATAACATGTCTTCCAGTTGTTGAGCTTTATTTATTCACACAAAATATTAAATTATTATTAGGATGGGTATAGATAGATGGATGGATGGATGGATGGATGGATGGATGGATGGATGGATGGATAGATAGATAGATAGATAGATAGATAGATAGATAGATAGATAGAT